AAGTGATATTTAAGTCCAGAGTTAAGTAAAGATTGGATATTATCTGTAAGCACTTAGCAAGGGGAAAATATTTCATTAATTGATATTAACTTACAACCTTTAAAAGCACTTCTTTTATTATAACTAAACACATATAAATAGCGTTTAAATACCTTATTGATTTTTTCCTCAATTTTATTTAATCAACTAAAAAAAAGTTTTTTATTTATTTATTTTTGAGAAAGAGCATGACAGGGGAAGGAAGGGCAGAGAGAGAGAGAGGGAGACACAGAATCCAAAGCAGGCTCCACGCTCTGAGCTGTCAGCACAGAGCCCGAGATGGGGCTCAAATCCACAACCATGAGATCATGATCTGAGCCAAACATCAGTGCTTAACCTGACTGTGCCACCCAGGTGCACCTAATTGAACTTTTAAATTTAAGATAACTGTAAATTCACATGCTGTTTTAAGAATGCAGAGAGATCTGGTGTACCTGTGCTTATCTTCTTCCAGTGGCAACATCTTGCAAAACTAGTAAGGTATCACCTCCAAGATCCTGACATTCATACAGTCAAGATTCAGAACGTTTCCATCTCAAAGATCCTTCATGTTACCATTGCATAGCTAAAACTAGTTTATTCTCTGTGCTTAACCTTGCTCCCTTAACCCCCAGCAACCACTAATTGGTTCTCCATCTCTATAATTTTATCGTTTCAAGAATGTTATATAAATAGAATAATACTCAGTATGTAACCTTTTAGGATTAACTTTCTTCATTATCCCACTTCTCTGGAGATTAATCAGAATTGTTGTTGTATCATTGTTTCTTTTTATTTCTGAGTGGTATTCCATGGCTTAAATGTTTACTATTTAACCATTTGTTTAACCATTCATCCATTGAAGGACTTCTGGGTCGTTTCAATTTTGTCTGATAAGAATAAAGCTGCTATGAATACTTTTGTACAGGTTTCTGTGTGAGAATAAATGTCTGTTTCCCAGGGATAAATGCCCAAGAGTGCAAAGACTGGATTGTATGCTAATTGCAAGTTTAGTTCTTATAAGAAACTGCCAAACTGCCAGTGTGGCTATAACCTTTTACAGTCTCCACCAGTATATGAGTGATCTATTTTTTTTCTGTGTTCTCATGTCATTTGGTGTTCCCATGATGGTTTTATTTAAGATGAAAGCCATTTTGATATGTGTGTAGTAATATGTTGCTATAGTTTTAATTTCCATTTCCCTAATAGGTAATGAAGTTAATTATCTTTTCATGTGCTTTTTTTGCCATTTGTAATATGTCCTTCAGTGAGTTATTTGTTGATGCTTGTATTCATTTGCTACTGCTGACATAACAAAATACCAGACTGGGTGGGTGCTTGCTTCGGCAGCACATATACTAAAATACCAGACTGGGTGGCTTGATGAACTCAGCTATTTCCCACATTCTCACAGTTCTTCCAGGAGGCTGGAAGTTAAAGATCAAGGTGTTGGCAAGTTTGGTTTCTCCTAAAGCATCTCTTTTGGTTTGCAGATGGCTGTCTTCTTACTCATACTGTTTTTTTCTGTGCCACCGTTGATGTCTTCTTATAAGGGTATTTGTCCTATTGGATTAGGGTTCCATCCAGATGGTCTCAATTACACTAAATTACTTCTTTATAGGCCCTAGTTTGATGTATAGTGACTTCCCGGATGAGGGCTACTGCATGTGAATTTGGAGGGTGAGAAGTACAGTCCAGTCCATAAAATACCTTTTGCCCCTTTTTAAATTGAATTCATTGTGGGTGTTTTTGTTTTTGTTTTACTGTTGAGTTTTGGGAGATGTCTTTATATTCTGGATACTAGCCCTTTGTCATATATGTGGTTGCAGGTATTTTCTACCAGTCTAGAATTATTTTATTCTTCTTTAGAGGGTTTTTCATGGAGCAAGAGTTTTTAATTTTGATGGGATCCAATTTATTAATGTTCCCTTTTATGGACTGTGCTTTTGGTGTCAAGTTTAGGAACTCTTTACTTAACTATATAACTATTAAAAACTGTTCTGCCATGTTAAAGTAAAAATGATTAGAGATCACAAATTATACATTTTCTTTTGCTTCGGGGAACTTGTGAATTTACGGAAAGAACATTATTTGGAAGAATAGGAGCAGGTCAGTCATGAACAAAAGAAATTCCTGCAAGATGGCTCTTCATGGTTTTCCTCATTTTTGCAGCTCTTCTGAGTAAAAACATTAGTGGGTTTTATTTTGGACTATATTTTAAGGATATTTGTAGAGCAAGCACCCTTGAAGAAGAGAGAGACTGTTTCCCTCCTGGACAAGGTTAGCTTGCCTGGTTGCATCATTATTTGCTTGGTTATCCAGGCTAGGAATTTGGGGCATCCTCATTAAGTATTTCTATTTCATCCTTCACATTCACCCAGGGCATCCTGTTAATTTCAGCTTCTGACATTTTCATCCTTATCCCTAATCCCACTCTGATTCATTACCTCATCCTCTCCAGTGTCATTTCTATAATACTGCTTTCCAGATTATTTTCTCCTTGTCTTTAGTTTTCAGAAGTTTGACTTAATATGTCATGTTATGAATTTTTGTCCATCTTACTTAAGATGTACTGACCTTATTCAATCTCTGGTTTTATTTCATTTGCCAAATGTAGGAATTTTTCAGCCATTATTTCTTAGAGTACTTTCTTAGCCATTTTTTTAAAGCTTATTTATCTTTGAGAGAGACAGAGACAGTGAGTGGAGGAGGGTGCAAAGATAGAGGGAGACATGAATTCGAAGCAGACAGCCATTGTTTCTCAGAGTACTTTTTCAGCCCACACTTTTCCTTCTCTATTCTGAGATTCAGATGACAAGAGATGTTATTTTATTTCTCAGGTCCCCAAGTTCTGTTTTTGAGTTTTGTTTTTGATTCTTCCTTTGTCCTCAGTCTAGTTTTTTGCTGTTGTTCAGATTGGACAATTTCTATTTCATTATGTTTGAATTCACTGATGGCTCCTTTTTTCCTTTAATACTGCTTTTGATTGTAGTCATTATTTAATTTTTATTCTTGTCTTTTTCTTTTTTAAAGTTTATTTATTTAACTTTAGAAAGAGAGAGAGAGAATCCCAAGCAGGCTCCACACTGTCAGCATAGAGCCCCTGATGTGGGGCTTGCTCTCGTGAACCATGAGATCTTTATATATTCTGTTTCTTCAGACTTTAACTCTTTGCTAAGACTTTATATTTTTTCATTTGTTTCAGGAATGTTCCTCATTGCTCACTGAAGAAGCATTTTTATGATGGCTGCTTTAGAATTTTAATCAGATAATTCTAATATTCCTGTCGTTTTAGTGTTGGCTTCTGCTGGTTATCTTTTTTGATCTAGTTTGAGATCTCCCTGGTTCTTGGAATGATGAGTAATTTTTATTGAAACCTGGATATTTTGGATATTATGAGATTCTAGATGTTATTCAGATCTTCTGTTTTAGCTGGGTTTGTTTGATACTATTCCATTAGGGAAAAGTGGGGTGCATGCTGCATGTTTACTACCATTCATGGTTCCCCACTCAGTCTCCATTGCCACCTCAGGGAGGTTATGCTTGCTATTATTGTGGGTGAATGTGGGATTTCTGGCTCCCCAGTAATTCTTTCCTGATAGCTCTCAGGCTGGAAGGGAGAGAAATGCCTCATTGTTGTTCCCCATGTTTCCTCTGATAGTGTCTTTCTTACCACTGGGTGGTCTGCTGTAAGTCTTGAGTCTCCACTCAGTATTTTCTTATGCTAGGTCAATAGGGAGGGATGAGGTCACTTTGTTCTTGATGGGAAGACTTAGATATACAAGTGCCCCACTTTGTCTTTGCCTTCATTGACACCAGGGGGATACCTTGTTATCTCTTGGTGGAAATTAAAGCCTTGGGCTCTGGCGGCCTTTTCTGACATCACCCCAGTGGGTTGATTGAAGCATCTCATTACAGCATGGGAAGCTCCCACATCATCCTTTGCTAGTAGGGGTGGGAATGGGGTCTTAATTTTTTTCCCCCTCTATCAGTAGCTGCACTAGTGCAGTTATTTTCTGAAAATTTTCTTTTTCCTGGTCCTTTGGCTACAGACAGTAGGCTTTTGGAGGGTTTGTTTCATCTGTGTTTGGTGTTTTTGGGTTATCAGCTTCTCTAGCGCTCTGCTTCTTAGTCTTTGATATATGAGGTAAAAATGAAAATCCATGGAACTTACTGTTGTTTAATTCTTTGGGTTGTAGGATCCATATCTAGTCTCTCTTATCTGCATTTCCTTGCTTAAGTTTGTTTTATATGTAACCTCTCCAGTTTTAGTTGTACATAGAGGAATAGGGAAAAGTATATCTACTCCCATCTTTTCAACAGTGTAAAGTGTGTTTCAGGTAGGACTTGATAACAGAAATCACCTCTAAAAAATCTTTGGATTGGATCCAGGTGGATATTATTGTCTTTTTATTTGTATATTTGTTTTTAAGACTAAATGCCTCTAGGCAGATTTTATTGGCAGAGATAATAATGAACTCAAATTAAAAGTACAAAGCAAAAATATAGAATCAATCCCTGGATATACATAGGTATCAGAATCTTTCTTGACAGCACAGAGACATACTTAATCACTAGTTTTTAACCTGTCCAGTTTTATTGTGATTTCTTTTATGTGTGCTGCAGTTCAAACACTTCTCCTTATTTTGAACTTTGGATCTAGTTACAGAGTGACTGATAATGTATGGAAATCGTTTTCAGGTTTTAGGTGTCTCATCTTAAAGGCTTTGTTAGAGTCTCATAGTCAAGTTTTACCTTTGGTCAGCTATGGGTATATCTGTGAGGATTTCATATTTTCAGGTGTTTACTATATAATATGAAAGTAGTATTATAGCACTAGAGGACAGTTATATTGTTATAAAAAACAAGACCTACCTTTTACAGGTAGCATAGCATTTTCACATTTCTTCAACAGTAATATTCTATAGTAAAATAGTAGAGTAGATACTAAAAAGCGTTTTCTTTGTATTTCTTTCTTGTAGGAAGACAGTTTAGAAGACGATGAAAAGAATTTCTATGACTCTGATGATGAACAGAAGGAAAAGACTGATAAAACGAAGAAGTCGTATACTATGGATCCAGACCATAGACTTTTAATTCGGAATACAAAGCCTTTGCTTCAAAGTAGGAATGCAGCGGTATGTTAAACCTTACAAGAAATCACGGGTTTTTTTCAAACAGTGGTTAAAAGTATGTAAGTAAAATAGAAGAGTCTTTATTTTTTAGTGTGCTAATGGAGCATATGTTTGTTTGTTTATATGTCAAAAATCAGGTTTTGATGAGATTACTTAGCTTTGTAGTTGAAACCTACCGGACTTCATTTATTTTTGTGGTTTTGTTAATTGGCTAAGATATGAGCCCAAGATGTTTCTCAGTGGATTGGAAGACTGTGCATATTTCTGTTACTTAGTTGTAATTGAGAGCACTTAATTTGGTATCAGTCCATAATATTCATATGAGCCTGATAAGAGTTTTTAAGAGACTAACACATAAAAAACCACCTAGCATAATGCCACATACATAAATAAATCTTCATTGGTAGGAATAAATAACAGTTAAAATCATCTTCATTTGAGTCCTGAGTTTGTTTTATGTCTTTTTATTTTAAATGTGCTTCATATTTCACAAGAATACATGTGTACAGTAACAAATTAGGAAATAGGAACTAGCAGAACTTAAAAAGCCCATCACTCAGAAATCACTGTATAATATCTTGATGCATTTTCTTCCAGATCCCTTTTCTGCATAAATATACATGTATTGACATGTGCACATGTCTATACATACATATTTTTTAAACCAAGGTAAAAATTCTGTATGTAGTACTTTTTAATCTTCCATAGTCAGTCCTTTCTATTTCAATAAAATTTCATCTCATTTAATACCAATTTATCTTAAATTATCTTTTATAAATAGATAATATAAACCAATATCTCTTGTTACAGTTCTTAAACCTCTTCAGTCTTGCAGAATACTCTTCTAGGTTTTCTCTTTTCTTCCTTTATAGTGTTATTTAATTTTTTCTTCTGCACTCTGTGTTACCTGTTAACTAGAAGTTCTATCTAAACATTAGATGGAGTCAAGTAAAACATTTTTTAAATATTTTTTAATTAAAAAATGTTCTTAATGAATTGTTCTGTTTAATTAGTAAAAACTTTGAAAATGTGGAATTGTACTTGAATTACTTTAAGTTTTCTGATGCTTGTGACTTTAGACCTTAGAGCTTTGTGTTTCGTAGTAATTAGCAGTTTTTATCTTATACCTCAGTCTAAATTCTATATCATTATTAAATAATCATACATAGTAATAAATATTATTTTACTAATGTTGTAAAATATGCTTATATTTCACTGAGCCCAACTTCGCCAGCTTATATTTAAGTAGCTCTAACTTGCCACCTAAAACTCTTCTTTATAATTGACTATTTATTTAACTTTGCCTTGGGAATTGATTTTATAATCCAAATACTTACTGATCAGAAATGTTCTTGAATGGTGAAACAAATAGAAGTAGCTTGTATTTCTTGTCTCAGCATGTTTTGATTCCCTACTTATTTGATTGTGTACCAAATAGACATAATTTACTTTTTTTCCCAGTATGTTTCGGTGTCCTGGTTATTTGATGCTGCTAAATATATGTAAAGGCTGACTTTGAAGGATTGTGAATAGCTTTCCTTATTTTAGCCCTGTTCTCAGTTAAAGGGGAGACTTTGAGAATGTTTTTTCAGGAAACTTATCAGTGCTGTGTAGATTGAATTGCAGACAAGGGTACTGGAAACAGTGTTGGGAGGCTGTTCCAAACAGTCTAGAGAAGGTAAGAGTCGTATCAGTAGTTAGGAATAGAAAAGTGCTTATAGGATATACTTTATCATGAATGTACATAATGTAACTGTAGAAGGCCTATCAGTTTGTATATTTTACTTATTTTGGACTTTGGAGATATGGGAGCTTCCCTCTTACAGAGCTTTAACAAATTAGACTATAAATTTCAAATTCCGATTATTGAAGAAACTTTATTAGAGTTTTAAGTACCGGGGGAGAATAAGTAGCCCTTGTGGACTTGAGGGAGTGCCCTAATTAATATATTAGAAGAGATGACATACTAAGTGGCATCTAGAATCTTAAAAAAACATTGACATATGGAGAAAGTACAGTTTACCTTCTTTCCAGTAGCATTTGACTATTTTTAACAAAATTGATTTAATTATTTTCTGTGAAATACATTAAAATGAAGCTTTTGGTTTTCTTTTATATACTAATACTTATTAGCCAGCTGCATGCTTTAATATTTTTTAAGTATTTATTTATTTGTGAGAGAGAGAAAGAGCATGAGTGGGGGAGAAGTAGAGAGAAAGGGACATAAGATCTGAAGCAGAGTCTGGGCTGATAGCAGAGACTCCGATACGGGGCTCAGACTCACCACTCATGAGATTATGACATGAGCCAGTCAGATGTTTAATCAACTGAGCCACCCAGGCACCCCTGCTTTAATATTTTTTAAAATGACTATCACCTACTTGTAGATTAAGACAGTCATTAATAGAGATTTTATTTTATAAGATTTTAAATTCAGTAGTTCTCTAACTAGAGTGTATTTGTGGATCATAAGTAAAGAAATAAAATATCCTTAAACTCCTTAAAAATTTTAAGCTTGTTACTTTTCTCCTAAAGAATCTGGGCTTCATTTGGAAAGGCATGCTTACCACTTTTAAAATATTCCCACTTTCAGAGCAGAAGCAGCAGTATTAAGAAGAGTAGGGGATTTGGAGTGTTATGTCAAGCTTTGTTTTGTACTGGCAAGCAGACTTTAGGTAGTTCATTTAACATCTGTTTTCTCATAACATCTTTTTTCTATTCTTTCCTCTGTATTAGTGTCCTAGGGCTGTCATAACAAATTACGACAAACCAGGTGAATTAAAACAACAAAAATTTATTTTCTCACTTGTAGTAGGGACAGAAGTCCAAAATTAAGATATCACAAGATTGGTTCCTTTCGGAGGCTCTAAGAGAGAAACTGCTTTTTGCTAGGCTACGGTGGTTGCTAAGAGTTCTGCATTCCCTAGCTCATAGATTCATCACTCCAGCCTCTGCCTCCATGTTCACATTGCCTTCTCTGTATCTTGTCCTTTTCTGTCTCTGCTGAGGACACTCATTGGCTTTAGGGCCCACCCTAATCCAGTGTAATGTCATCTCCACCATTATCTTATTAATATCTGCAAAGATTTTATCTCCAAGTAAGGTGATATTCTGAGGGTAGACGTGAATTCTTGGGAGGACACTCTTCAGCCTGCTTCAAAAGGTAGCAACATATTCATCTTACCTCACGGGAATTTTGCTGGAGTTAAAGAAGCAGTTTGTAGGAATGTACTCTGCAACTGTAGCGAATGTACTTGGAAACTGTAGCATGCTCCTGTGTTCAGAGCTAGTATTTTCATACTTTATCTTTCAGGTGGTTATGGCAGTTGCCCAGCTATATTGGCACATATCACCCAAATCTGAAGTTGGCATTATTTCTAAATCACTAGTGCGTTTACTTCGTAGCAATAGGTAAGACATGATGTTTTATATGTTTTTTCTTACTCCTTCAAAGGTAATCTTTGAATAAATGTCATCTGTCTTTCAGACATTTATTACATGGTTCTGTGTTATATCGATAAGTTTTCATACTTACATGATCATCATTAAAGCCTTTATATAATTTATGTCTTGGTTAGGGATAAATATAAAAGTTTTTTAACCTCAAGCTTGGCAAAGTTTAATATCAGATTTTTATCATTTGTTTTGTTTTCTGTGTATTAAGAATTATAACATTGTTTCAGCTGTTTACCTTACCCTGAATATTTTGTTATAATTAGTTATTTTAAATTTAAAATTTTTTCATTGAGTGCTTACCTCTACTAATAGAGTTGAATAGGGGTGAGGGGGTGGGAAGATGCCTGTTTGTTTTTAATCTTTAACGTGGCCTCAGTGGCACAACTACTTAGCCCTAGACTGACTTTTGCCATTCTTTAGTGAAGTCCTTGGTGTTCCTGTTCTCTCCTCTGTCTTTATACACAGTCATTCTTTTCCTCTTTATCAGTTCAATACTTTTTCTTTTCTACAGCTAGCTCAAAGGTTGTCAGAAGGATCTGGAATGCATCTTTCACATGAAATTTTATACCAGATTCATTTCTACCTTCATTTTTTAGTTATTTGGACATAAAATAGCATGACTTTTTTTTTTTTTAATCTGTCTTTTCACTGTGATCAGAATTTAGTAACAGCATCTGATCAAGAGTTTAGGTTAGTACTGTGGTCATGTTTATTCCATTAGCCCAAGAATACCTTCCCTGCCTGTCTTCAGAGCAGCTACAGTATTGGCTTTACATCTTAGGAATATAGGATTATAAAATTGGTTTTAACTTTTCCTCATGATGAATCAAATCTAATTTATTAATGGTTTATAGGACGAGTGTTTAAAAAGAAGATATAAATATCTAAGATTTACTAAACTCTTTTAAATATTATATTCAAGTTGAATGCAATATGATGCTTATTGCTGATTTTTTTATTCTTAAAGATACCTAGTTGGAAAATATATTCAGTGAAAATTCTCCTTTAATTTCTAGGGAAGTGCAGTATATTGTCCTACAGAATATAGCAACTATGTCAATTCAAAGAAAGGTATGTACGTTGTGAACACATAATTCAAGAGAGAAATGAATACATTAGTATCATAAATGTATTTATATGTATATATATATATTTTTTTTTTTTTTTTGAATCTAGGGTATGTTTGAACCTTATCTGAAGAGTTTCTATGTTAGGTCAACTGATCCAACTATGATCAAGACACTGAAGGTATGCATGTGCTTGTTTCTCAGGTACCCTTAGTACATATTTACTTTTAAGATACTGCTATAGCTTCTAGTATCTGCAAAATGGAAACCTCCTTTTTAAAAACCACAGACACATTTAGGGATTTTCCTTATGCTTTCTAAACTGTATTATTGTATCCACTTTCTGTGCTGCTTCCTGATAATACACAGTTTCTACATGCTACCTGCATCCTGAGTAACTCATAGTATCCTGAAGGAGACAGTCATGTAGATAAGATAATTTCAGCACTAGTGTGTTTTCCTGATATTATAGAGATTTGAATTGAGTACTGTGCAGAATAGAAAGATGGGGTTAATTCTCTAGGATTTAGAAAAGACTTGTAGAAAAGTTGATGTTTGAGTGGATCTTGAAAGAATAATATTTTTGTGAATTTTTTTTTATCTTAGTTGGTAGGTTGATTGGGAGTTTGTGGGTTTGGGAGTAGGAAAAAGAAACAGTTTATGCTAACAGAGATTATGAAAGAATGTTGTATTTATATCCCTAACTGCAGAATAGAGTCTAATTAGGGATATAAAGGTATGATAATTAAAACAATATGATATTTAGACAAAAATAAGTGGGATGGAATAGAGAGCATAGAAACAGATCGATGTGCATGAACATGTACTATATAATAGAGAACACATTACAAACCAATGCAGGAAGGATGGACTTTTCAGTAAATGTTGGAATGATTGGTTATGCACATGGAAAGTGGGTTTAATTATAAGAAAATCTAATATACATCCAAATTGAAGAATATTTTAGGAGTGCTTAGGTGGCTCAGTTGGTTAAGTATCCAGCTCTTGATTTCAACTGAGGTCATGATCTCACGGTTCATGAGATCGAGCCCCATGTTGGTTTGTGCACTGACAGCATGCAACCTGCTTAGGATTCTCCATCCCCCTTTATCTCTGCCCCTCTCCCGATTTCTCTCTCTCTCTCTCTCTCTCTCTCTCTCTCTCTGTCTTTTTCTCTCTCTCCCAATAAATAAACAAACATTAAAAAGACAAATGGATATTTTGGAAAATAATTGGCTTGTCCTCAAAAATGTCAAGGTTATGAATGTCAGAAGAAAGACTGAAAAAGTTTCAGGCTGAAGGAGACTAAAGATACAACTGAATTCAATGTGTGAAACTGAACTGGATCCTTTTATAATAAAGGATCGAGGTAATTTGTAAAACTTAAATGGGAGTATGATTGCATAGATGTATGTGTCAGTGTTAATTTCTTGATTTTCTTGGTTCTATTGTGTTTTCTAGGACAGTGTCCTGGTTTGTAGGGAATATACATGAAAGTATTTGGGGATGATGTGGTATCAGATTGGTAACTCTCAAATGATTCAGATCAAAATAGTTGTTACTTTTTCTATATGTTTGAGATGGTTTTTAAAAAACTGTGTAAAAAAATTAAAATGTTCTCATCAAAATAAAATACAAAGTCAAGCCATAATCCAGGAAAAAATATTTCCAGTACATATATCTGAGAAATGACTAGGACTCAAAATATATAAAGAACTTCTACAATCTAACCCTTCTAATTAGAATATGTAGACCATTTAATTAATTAATTTAATGTTTATTTATTTTTGAGAGAGAGAGCAGATGCCAGGAAGGGACAGAGAGAGACAGACACACAGAATCAGAAGCAGGCTCCAGGCACTGAACTGTCAGTGCAGAGCCTGATATGGGGCTTGAACCCACAAACTGTGAGATCATGACCTGACCTGAAGTCAGATGCTTAACTGACAGCCACCCAAGAACATGTTTTTTCTTTTAATTTTTAAAAAGTTTATTTATTTATTTTGAAAGAGAGAGTGAGTGAGTGAGCCTATGAGTATGAGCTGGGGAGGGGCAAAGAGAGAGAATCCTAGGCAGGCTCTGTGCCATCAGTGAAGAGCCTGACATGGGGCTTGAACTCATGAACCATAGGATCGTGGCCTTAGCCCAGATCAGTGTCAGATGCTAAACTGACTGAGCTACCGAGGTGCCCCTAGACCATTTATTTTAAATGTAATTATTGATATAACCCCCCCACACACACAAACCTTGTGGTTTGTTTTCTATTTATGCCATCTGTTCTCTGTTCCTTTCTTTTTTCATGCTTTCCTTCAGATTATTTGAATATTTTTATGAGTAAAAACTGAAGCTTTTTTAGTGAGTCTATTGAAGAAGGACTTATTTGCATATTTCTTATAACTGTAAATCCAGAAGAGAGCATTAAAATGTCCAGGTATTTGGGATGGTAGAATGAATGAGAACAAGAGAATTAATTAGTATCTGGAAAACAGAGGTATTATATGGAGGGCAAGTTGCCTTCTAAGTTTATTAATAAAGGGGGGAAAAGCCCAGCTACCTCAAATTGTTTAGGTTAACTAGATATAGGGGGTCTGTTTTACCCACCAAGTTCCATGAAGGTTGAGACCTTTGCTTTGTTCCCTACTTTATCTTCATAGCCTTGAAAAGACACTGACAGATAGTAGGAACTCCGTAAATGTTTGTTGAATAGGTGAAATAAACAAAGAAAGGCTCCTCACAAGGGGGTGTGCACCCAGGTGCAGAGGCTTCCTTCGTGTTTATTAGGCACCATTCTGGAAAAGACATTCAGGGGTGCCTGGGTGGCTCAGTCAAAGGTTAAGCATCTGACTTTGGCTCAGGTCATGATCTCACGTTGAGTGAGTTCAAGCCCCGAATCAGTCTCTGTGCTGGCAGTTTGGAGCCTGCTTCAGCTTCTGTGTTTCTGTCCTTCTCTGTGCCTCTTGGCCTGCTCATATTCTGTCTCTTTTCACTCTCTCTCTCTCAAAATTAAACAAACAGGGGCTCCTGGGTGGCTCGGTCGGTTAAGTGTCCGGCTTCGGCTCAGGTCATGATCTCGCGGTTTGTGGGTTTGAGCCCCGCGTCAGGCTCTGTGCTGACAGCCAGCTCAGACCCTGGAGACTGTTTCAGGTTCTGTGTCTCCCTCTCTCTCTAACCCTCCCCTGCTTGTGCTATTTCTCTCTCAGAAATAAATAAAAAACATTAAAAAAATTTTTTTTAAATGAGATGTAAACTGTAAAGTTGGGACAAACAGGGAAGATGTAGGATTCTCTTTTTTTGTAATTGTTTTTAAGCATTATATAATTATCTGTCCTCTCTTTGGAGATGTAGGAAGACAAAAATTCATCTGAAGGGTATAATGCCTCAGAATATTTGGATCAGTGTGACTTTTGTTAAAAACAGAAATGACCTTTGTATTAAATGCCTAGCCTGTGTTAAATTAATTCTTTTTATTTATGTTTTAAAATGTTACTCTTTTCTCTACCCTAGCTTGAAATTTTAACAAACTTGGCAAATGAAGCCAACATATCAACTCTTCTCCGAGAATTTCAGGTTTGTATACAATGCTAATCATAAAATAACTCCTCAAATATTTGTTCAGTTTACAGTCAAATATACATCTCTCTCAGTTTAGAAATAGATAATTGTGTTAAATAAAATAGTGATTTGGGATAAGTTTGGGAACTAAGAAATTGATAAATTTTCAAGATTAAACATTAACTACAAATTCAAAATTTAAGGGACATAGAATAGTAATCTGTTTCATGTTTCCATTGATATTGAAAGACTGGTTTCTAACTGTGGAGATTTATTTGGAAATTATGTTACTGGGAAGGATTCCGTGTCTCTGTGCTGTCATCAGTGTCAGTCCGTACTCTGCCTTCGTGAAAACAGCTTCACGTCTTCCCTGCTTGTCCTGTTGCAGTGGCCTGTGCTCTTATAGACTGTGTCCTCTTAGCTTCATGTGTTTTTGATCTGAAGTTTCTCCTGTCATGATGTTTTTATCATAGTTTTTGTTTTGTTGTCTTTATTGAAACCATTAATGCTCTTGGATGAGATGCATCTCAGCTCTATGCCCTTAAAAGAGTATTATTCACAAACTATCTCATGGATATGGCCTTCATGTTGGAATGGTCAGCGCTGGAGACTTAGTTGGTAGATGATAGCAATAGAAAACTTCATCTCAGTATTAGGAATTTTTATATTTCATCAGCAGTTTTCTTAGTAAAAATATACCACATGCTACACACAAATCACAGTTTTTGTCAATTTCCAACTTTTATGGATTTAATTTATTTTGTTGCTATAATCCTCCTGTATACCCATATTAAATTTCCTCTTAGATAAATAGACATTGCAATTTTTTAACTGTGATCTTATACCTTTAACCAGAGTAGTAGAATATTATCTCATGTCCTAGATTTATAATTTCAGAACTGGGTTCCTGTACTTTCATGCCGTATGTTTTCCTAGGAAGATGCCTTGTAAAATTAGGATGTTAAGGATATCCAGCCATCCTATCTTTATATATGCCAGAAAATATAGTATATATGCCAGAAAATTTACTATCTTAAGTATAGTATTGAAGTAGCAATATCCAGTAATCTATAGCTATAGAAGATTGTTTGGATTTGATTTTTACCTCATTTTTATAGGTTTGCTTTTTTAAAAATTTTTTGTCTCAATGTTTGTGTTTGCCCTTTTCTTATTGTGGGCAATGTCTTTGGGTATCTTTTTGCTGTCAGTTTCCTGCTTATGTCAGGTTTACTGGGTATGTAGGCCGTAAGTCTCAGGTAATTTTATGGCATCATTTAATTGTACAGAAATGACTCATTGAACCTATTTCAGAATATTGGTGATCTAGCGATTTCATTTAATTTCTTTTAATATCAGGATATAAGGTCCATTGATTAGTTAGACTTTCTAATATATTCTTTCTTTATGTATCCACTTTTATCACTGTCAGTATTTGTACCTCATCTTGTGGCTTATGGGTTATGTTTATAGATATGTACAGTTCACTTGACAGTAGTAATCTTTTGTGTAAAATAGAGAATTTTTCTAATGACCTATTTTTTCTAATTGAGGAAATTAGGTCATGACCTGGTAAACAGTTTAAATACACTTGATCTCTCCTACGTGGAACCAAGAGAATTTGTTTTATTTATTTCTTCAGTATTTATCCTGTTCTTGTACTATTTTCACAAAATTTGTATGGTTTTAGATATTCTTAGATTTTTCTCTTCAGTACCATTTACGTGTACATCCTCTTTGGCATGTTAGGTAACCATAGTGTTAATTGTACATTATGTTCTTTACATTCGAGGTTAGCAGTCTTTTTTTTTTTTTTTTTTTTTTTTTTTTTTTTTTTTTTTTTTTTTTTTTTTTTTTTTTTTTTTTTTTTTTTTTTTTTTTTTCAATTCAGTTGAGGGACACCTGTGTGTTCAGTCGGTTTAGCATCTGACTCTTGATCTCAGCTCACATCTTAATTTCACAGCTGTGAGTTCAAGCCCCACACTGGGCTCTGTGCTGGGCTTGAAGCTGACTTAAAAGAAAAAAAAAACTCTGGGTGCCTGGGTGGCTCAGTTGGTTAAGCGTCTGACTTCGGCTCAGGTCATGATCTCCCGGTTGGTGGGTTCGAGCCCCATGTTGGGCTCTGTGCTGAGAACTCAGAGCCAGGAGCCTGCTTTAGATTCTGTGTCTCCCTCTCTCTCTGACCCTCCCCTGCTCACGCTCTCTCTCTCTCTTTCTCAGAAATAAATAAAACATTTAAAAAATTAAACAAAAAAAAACTCTATTGAGGGGCACTTGGCTGGCTTAGTCAGCAGAGCATGCAACTCTTAATCTCATGGTTGTAAGTTATGCTCACGTTGAGCATAAAGCTTACTTAAAAAATTCAGTTGAATATGGGATTTTAAATTTTGTTTACATATAATATATAAATATAAATATTTGAAGTATACTCATTTCTGTAAAGAATAAAAGCTGAAGTTTAATTAGGAAAGTTATAATCAAAGTGAAATTCTTTAGGGTTATAGTAAATTTTGTAAAGATCTTTTAACTTTCTATCATTAAATCAGTTATTTTTAAGTTTATATAAATAGTTTACATTTTTATTTTTATTTAAAAAGCTTTTTTTGTTTATTTATGGGGGGGTGAGAGAGAGAGAGAGTGTGTGTGAGCAAGCGAGCAGGGGAGGAGCAGAGAGAGAGAGGGAGAGAGAGAGAGAATCCCAAGCAGGCTCCACACTATCAGTGTAGAGCCTGATGTGGGGCTCAATCCCACAAACCGTGAGATCATAACCTGAGCTGAAATGAAGAGTCAGATGCTTAACTGACTGAGGCACTATATTTTTAAAACATTCTTTTAATGGAAATTTATTTCAAAAGTATGATATTTTGTTATAAACTGAGTGTATATAAAGTCTGAGTATATATAAAGTATTTATATAGATATAAATACTACTCACTGTAGCTGTTGTAGTTCTGTTACATTCAGATACCATTTTGAAAGTAAAATGTTTGTCTGTGGTATATTTGTTCTTTTCCTCCTCTTCTCCCAACTTTAGATTTAGTGTCTCTGAAAAAGCAACCCTTTTTTTCATAGATTCACAGATGCTACTGGTTAAATGAACTGAAACCTCCAAAGAGAGAGTTCTCATCATCTCTTTCAACCTTGCACTTAAACTAATTGCTGTCTTTGGGTGACTGCTCCCCACTATCTGTTTTGGAGTCACAAGCCTCTGTGGCCACAGGTCAATGAACCTGGCTTGAAAATGTGCCTCTTCTAAGGCACATTGTTTAAGTAAAAAACAAAATTAAATTAAGCTAAGTGATCATTTGGTCCTCTTGTGCATATAAATGAGAGTATTGTGTTATGTATTAGAAAGTTTTCATTTTTGACAAAGTCTAGTGTAATAGGGATCTTTTTGTCCACTTGAGTGTACCTCAAAGTATAAACTAATTGAATTGATATTTTTTAGACCTATGTGAAAAGCCAGGATAAAGAATTTGCAGCAGCCACTATTCAAGCTATAGGCAGATGTGCAACCAATATCTCAGAAGTCACAGACACATGCCTCAATGGCCTGGTATGTCTCTTGTCCAACAGAGATGGTAAGTTAACAATTTCATTTTAGGTCCAAGTAATTTATCCTTTGAATATTCTTGGCATGCTCTTCAAATTGTAACATTTTTTAACATCGCGTTTTAGCGTGTCCAGTGTGTCAGTAGCATGGTCATGATGAGAGTAGCATTTTATCTTTGAAATACGAAGACGCACACTTTTTTGTGTTGTTGTTTTAGTAAATTAGATAATGAACTTGCAAACATTGTGTCTCCTTAAACAAGAACTAAAAACCTTTCCACAAAGGTTCTGTTTTACTGTTTTTAAGGACACAGAAGTCATGTATAATATTGGTTCACCTGCAGAGGGTGCTAAAAGCAGGCAGATGATTGTTACATGGAGAAGTGGCTAGATCAAAAAAGTATGTTTATTGTGTGTATCTTCAAAGGTTTTTTCCTAAAGATTCATCTAATAATTTCATATTCAGTATTAACCTTGATTTAATAGTCATCAGTTTGAAAGAGCTTCATGTTTTTAAGTCAAACAACATGTAAACATTTTGTAAAATTGTAAAGGTGATAACCACTAAAATGCATAATCTAGGTTACATACTGTTCAGTGGTAAATTGTCAGTTATTTCTATGATATGGCCTTAGAAAGTGAAGCCTTTTGGAGAAAGAAATAATTGTCAACTTTCACCTTTAAAATAATGTATTTAGAGGATTTTTATTATAATTGTATATTTGATTAAAACAAGAGATTCTTTTTAAGAAAAGCTTAGTTTTTTGTATAAAATAATTGAACTTATTTGTGGAATTCTAATTATGTCATATTTATACACAGGGATATATGAGATAGCATAAATTGAAACATAAGAAACTTGAATACATTTTATATTTATATTGTATTTATATTATTTATATTTTCATTACAATAACTCTGTTATCCCTAATTATCTATTCCTACATGTAGATCTCTTTATAAAACTGTAACATTGTGATAAGTACTTCTAAGGATATTACTGAAACAAAATTTAGCCCCAAGTAAGAGTGATTTTTTTATTGTGAACATAAAATTGTAAACCTTAATCCTGCAAACTCAAGATAATATGATGGGTAGAACTTTTTTCTGCATGCAGAAATTAGTAAATCCTTCTACCTTTATATTAATGTTTAGACTTTTGTTTTTGGTAAATCAAAGCTATCCTTATAATTATGGCTTTTTTCATGCAGTTTGAATATTAAGAACCTTAAATTATATTGTCCCAATTCTTATTGCATAACATCATTAGCCTATAGTTTCTGATTATTTGATTACTTATTATATGAGCTACACTTTTACAGTTTGGAAACCTCAATAAAAGTAACCAGTAAAACAAATAAAGAGAATATTCATATTAAAATCAATAGCATTAAAGAGTGTAGTAGTATTTTTAACTTTAAAATGATGATTCTTGATAACAGAGCCCCTTTGTTCTAATAAAAGTTCTGCTTTTAGAAATAGGTATCAAGAATGAGGCCTCAGTTTCTTTCACATCTCTTAAGATCTTTTGAGGCTCTAAGTATCTGTGATTCTTGATTTTATGTTAATACAAATACCTCCTCATCTCTTTAGATAGTGTATCTTAAAACCTTAAGGGCAATATTTAGACTCCATTCTTTTTTGCATATATTCAACATACTGTTTTTAGACCTGTAGATTTTTGGGTTTTTTTTTTTTTTTTTAATGTTGTTGACTTCTCCCTTCTTCACATGGAGAGGGCTTTTCTAGGCAGACTTAAAGTATCACTTGCCTTCAGTATCACTAAGGGTAATTTGATAATTTCTTAAGGATCTTTATGAGAAATCTGCATTTCAGTTGGCTTAGGATAATTTAATTCTCTAAGATAATTTACTTCAGGTAATATATTGGCAAAATTTGCTTGCCTAAATAACCTTACCATCTACTGTAAACTAAAAGTATTAGGGAAGAGGACTACTTTGTGTTTCATTTAGTTTTCGTAAACATTCAGTAAACATTTATGAGACCTCAAATCAGTTGGGGGTATTTAGTTAATGTTGAATAGATACCTATAAAAGGTTCTTCCCTTTAAAGAGTTAACAGTGTAATAGAGTGAAACAGTAATATAAAACACATGTATTACAGTCTTTTTGTATATTGACCAGTTAGTCTATGGCAAGCTGTCCGCTTGCATGCAGAAACTAGACTATGTATGTTTGAATGTTAATGTTATCTTGAATAAATTACTCAATCTCCCTGTGCTTCAGATTCTTCATTTGCAAAATGAGTATATTAGTAGACTATAGTAACCTTGATGACATGTGCTAAGTGAAACAAGCCTGCCACAAAAAGCCAAATACTGAATGATTCCACTGGTGTTAGATATCTAAAACAGTCAAATTCATAGAATCACAGAGTGGAGTGGCAGTTGCCAGGGTATGGAGGAGAAGGGAAATGGGGAATTACTAAACAGCAAACATGTTTCAGTTAATTAAGCAAGTTGAATAAGCTCTAGAGGTTTGCTGTACAGCATTGTACCTATACTCAACAACAATGTATTGTACACTTTAAAGTTTGGTACGAGGGTAGATCTCATGTTAACTGTTCTTATCAAAATAAAATTAAATTAAAAAATAGTAGGTTGTCCTTCTAGAGTAAGGGCCATTAAGTTCTGTTAAGGACAAGAAAGAAGGTTGGAAAAGTCAGAACACAGGATCATTTCATGCTTTGGATAGAGCAGCACCACAGTCCTGGGATCTTTGAAAAACAGGAGGTAGCATCAAGGAAAAGTAGGGTGGGATTATGGGAAGGGATGAGAAGGCACATGGGGTAGACAAAATGATTAAGCCCCTCTCCTCCCTCCTATCCACCCCCCCCCGCCCCCTCACCCATGTGTAGGTCCTTATGCCCAGAACCTGTGAATATGCTCCCTTACCTGGCAGGAGGGACTTTGCAGACGTATTAAGATTCTTGACATGGAGGTCAAAAGGGTCCTTTTAAGGGAAGGAGGAAGGTTAACACAGTCAGATGTCAGAAGCAGAGATTGGAAGTGATGCCATTCTGGAATGGGGGCTTGAGCTAAGGAATGCAAACAGTCTTTAGAAGTTGGAAAAAGGCAAAGAATGGATTTTCTCCTAGAACCTCCATAGAGAGGTGGTCCTGTTGACACCCTGCTTTTAGCTCCATAAGGTCTAAACTGTTAACTTCTGACCCTGGAACTGTAAGATGCTAAATTTGTGTTGTTTTAAGCTACTAGGTTTGTGGTAATAGGAAAGTAATATAGTATGAAGGGATAAATGATGCCAAATATATATTTCAACTATAGCCAGTCCTGCCTCTGCATGTGGATAATTAAAATTATACAGCATTTTTTCTGGGTCTAGTTTTGCAATAATATATTTTAAAAATATAAATTTTTATACTATAGATTCTTAAAAAACCACATTTACCATGTTTTAATTTGCATGGTAATTCCTTATATAACCATTTAAAGTTTCTTACTAGAGTGTGAGTTTGACAAGAGCAGGATCTTAATCTTTGTTTTCATCAAAGCTCAAAGCAGCGGTCTTTATAAAAATAATAGCTGCTTGTAGTAACTTAGAAGTTAGAGGTAAAATGGTACATTCTCATTCTGGGTTTGAATTCTGAAAAAAGTCATATAGTTCTAGTGTATTTCTCTCTTCATCTTTAAAATAATGATAATAAGAGGGGCGCCTGGGTGGCTTAGTCGGTTAAGTGTCAGACTTTCGCTTAGGTCATGATCTCTCAGTTCGTGGGTTCGAGCCCCGCGTCGGGCTCTGTGCTGACTGCCAGCTCAGAGCCTGGAGCCTGTTTCAGTCTGTGACTCCCTCTCTCTCTGACCCTCCCCTGCTCACGCTGTCTCTCTCTCTCTCCCTCCTAGAAATAAATAAAACATTAAAAAAATAAATAAATAAATAAATAAAATAATGATAATAAGATACGTACCATATGTTCCATGAGAAGAGAAAGAAACACATCATTTTGTAAACTGAAACATTGTATAAATACCTATTTATCATTCCACTGGAGAAAAAGGTATATAGTTTGAAATATGTATATTTAACAATGATTAGAATGATAAACATTTTACTTATATTCTTAAAGGGAGCTAGATAAGAAAATATATTTCAGGAAAAGAGTAACATCCCAAATCATGGTATTTTCAATATAATACTAAAATAAATCTTTGCAGTGTATGCCAGAGGAATCTCTAATATTCCTGAAGCCCTATTAATAAAAAATGTCAAATTAATAAGTAAAGGCATTGCTGACATATTTCTTTGGCATCAGGAGCACTAATAATTATATATATATAAGATTCATTCCATAAGCTCAGGTGCTCTGGCTAGTTCAAAACAGTTCTCTGCTGGTGCCACCAAAAATGTAACTCTGGACCAGTGATTAGCCACTTAAGTTTGATAACTCAATCTCAGAATCCATTTGAGGATCTGCTTCCTTGGAGCCACTCCCAGTGCCAATAATTATATTAGTTAAGGACCTGGCAAGAAACAGATGGCACACTTAAAAGGAACTACTGAAGAGAATTTAATGAAGGAACTACTTAAAAGGTTTGGGCAGGATTAAGGGAAGCCAGGAAGGCATGCTGTACACCCTTTGGCTAACAGGCTACCAACCGTGGGAAACCCCTTTAGCAGACCTAGAATTGAAGGAAATGGTGTGTGAGGAGTCGTAGAAGTTACCAGACTCAGCAGGAGAGAGTCACTCACAGGAACTGAAACTCTCCGAAGAGGAATGCATGCCCTGCCAGGGAGACCTGGCAGTAGAGAGATCCAGGATAGTGAATATGCTCTCCTCCTGCCCCTTGATGTCCTGCTGGTGCTTCCTATCAGCTAAACACAGCTGGATGCTAGGGGTAAGAGAGTCTGGTTGATGCAGTCCGCAGAGATCAACCTCTGAGGGCACAGAGTGGGTCAAGAAAGGCAGAGAGTGGATTCATGGGATACATGGAGACCTTCCAGCGTGCAAGCCTACTCTTTCTGGCTCTAAACTATAGTAATACCTTTCTTACTACTGATGAGCCTCACTACTCACTACATCTAATGATCCATACTACTCACTTGTCGGGACATATCGCTTAAGGAATCTTTGTTTTTAGTTTGCTGTTTTCTTTAGAATTGGAAAAAAGTTACTTCGATTGCAGGTGTTTGATTACCACTTAATAATTGGCAGGAATCAAAGAACTGTATAATTACCTAATTACCACTCTATGGTAGGAATCAAGTGTTAGAAAGCTATAGTTAAAAGCTAGACACTTGAACATTATGGTGAGTAGCAAAATCTAACTTCTCTTTGCTTTTCTGACTCAAAGAAGCAGGTATTGGAAAGGGGTGTCAGAAGCTAGGAGGCAACAGGTGAGGTTAGAAATTCAAGAGTACTCTTCTGCTTAAGATAATGTGAACCCCCAAAATTTGGAAATATATTCATGGTTATAGTTTTTCACCTCATCATTAAGACATGTACAATATTTTGTTAATTTAAATATACATTCTACCAAGAATATTCATTTGAATTGCATTACACATATTTAATATGAATAATCTCTATCTTTTTCAGAAATAGTTGTTGCTGAAAGTGTGGTTGTTATTAAGAAATTACTGCAAATGCAACCTGCACAACATGGTGAAATTATTAAACATATGGCTAAACTCTTGGATAGTATCACTGTGAGTACCAACTCAGAGATCTTTTCTGACTTTAATTAGGTTTTAGTCAATAAATTATAGTGTTAAAATAAATAAACATCTTAAAGTATACTGGCTAAGAGACCTTAACTGTCTGGATTCACATCCTGCTTCTAAGATTTTACACTGTTGTGGAAGGGAATTACAAATCTGAAAAAGGGTAAGGATGCAATAAATGCAGTAGTGTTAGATTGGAATTGGAGATAGCAGTGTGAACTTCATAGGTTTTTATATTCTAGATATGTGTGAGTGTTTAAATGTATGTATCTATGTGTCTACACAATTTATATGTACAGATATGAATGCATATATTGGATATACAGACATCTATTTCTTTAGTTGTCCTTTGAGAGAGCCTATATGCAATAATAGTCCAATATCAATGAGCACACCTACTGCCCAGATCTTGTTTTTTTTTTTTAATTGAGATATAATTTTAAACCATAAAATTCACACATATAATTGTGGGTTTTGGTATATTCATAAGGTTGTACAATCATCACTACTATGTAATTCCAGTATTTTTTCATCATTCCAATAAAAGAATCCCATGGCTCAAACTCCTGATTTTCCCTTTACTCCAGCTCTTGACAAACTAATCTACTTTGTCTCTATAGATTTGCTTATTCTGGACATTTCATATATAAATGGAATCATACATCAAGTGGCTTTTGGTGTCTATAATTAGCGTTTTTTCAAGGTTTGTGCATGTTCTAGAATGTAGTACTGCATTCCTTTTTTATGGTAGACCTTGGTTTTTCAATTCCATTCACCACTCAAAGGAAACCAGGGCTGCTTAGAGAAATGGCTGATTTCAGAGCTAGGGCTAGGAAAGAACAAGATGATCTTGGAATATCTTGTTGGGCTTAAAAAAGCAAAGAAATGCTCACAGAATGATAGAGATCTGTCAGAGAGACAAGTGCCATCTTTAAGGGGTTCTCACTGTCAATTTGAACAACAAAAATAAACTAGAGTAAAAGGACTATGGCCTACTGAATAGGGTAAGACTCTTGAGCCCACCTGGAATGAATGAATGAATGAATGACAAAGGGAAGCTCTTTCTTACAGTGCAGAACAACTAATAGATGTAGAAGGAATGATGGCATTAGAATATTACCCTTTGCAAGCCATCACAACAACTGATTCAGGTTAAAATCATTAACCAATGCTAAAAATGAGGGGCTGAAAGTTTGAGTAGTAAGAGGATATCTGTATAGTCTCAAAGTATATCCTTATAAGATACTTAATTACAAAGCATAAGTTAATGACTTTTGACTTTTACAATGGAGAAACCTGACAGGTGCTACATGAACCACGTGAACATGGTAAACATTACCAGCATTGGGATAAAATACCTTCTGATAAGACCAACTGAGTAGAACTCAGCTTCAGGTCTGTTGGATTTCTGCAAAAAATGAATGACTTAGATTGAATCAAGAGGAAACAGGAGACAAACTCAAATGAGGGTATACTACAAAATAACTGGCTAGCAGTCATTAAAAATGCCAATATCATGAAATGTACCAAAAAACTCAGATTTTTTTCACATTAAAAGAGATTAAAAGGATAAGACAACTCCATGCTACACATATCTGGATTTTCTTTTGCTATAAAGGATTTGGTAGGGAAAGTTGGCAAAATCTCAATAAAATCTGTAGCTTCGATAACAGTATTTGTTCACTGTTTAAATTCCTAATTTTTAAATCATTTAATGTAGTAATGTTCGAGCAGTCCTTTTATTACGAAGTTTGCACTCAAGTATTTTGGTGTTTAAGGGCAAGTCTACAACTTGTTATCAATTTAGAAAACAAAATATCTGTGTATGTATAGGAAAGTAAAGCAAATGTAGTAAGCTGGTAACATCTGGGGAATCTGTGTGAAGAGTATTCAAAAGTTCTTTCTGTTTTTCTTCCAAGTTTTCTGTAAATCAAAATTGTATTTAAAGAATTAAATTAAAACCAGATATTAATCTTGGCTCCACCACTTACTATCTCTGTGCTTTTCCATTAAAAGTTCTATACTTTAACCATCTGTGAAATGGGGATAGTAAAAAAAAAAAAGAAAAGAAAAAAAAGACAGCACCTCATATTTTGTAAATACTATGTCAGTTACTATATATAAAGCTCTAAAGAATGTTTCCTGGCACCTTGTGATACTACATAAGTGTCTGCTGTTATTATTATTTAAGTCCTATTTCATTCCCTTCTACCTTTAAAACTAAAGTATTTTGAAGAATTATTTGAAAAGAATTTTATTTCCTGATCTAAAAGTCACTCCTCATTCTGTCAAAGTCTGATTTTGTTTCCTCACCACTCCACTAATATTGCCTTCTCCAAGGTCACTCACTGTTTTCTTCTTATTAAACCCAGTGGATAATTTGCTGTTCATGTGTCCTTCATGATCTTTTGTTAGCATTTGACTCTATATACTGCTTCTTCCCTTTTGAAACAGTCTCTCTCCAGGGCTTCAGTCTGGTTTTTCTTCAGACTTGTCTTTATTGTGTCCCTTCATTGTTAGTTAAAGTTAAAAACTAGTGTTCTGTAACTAACAGAATTGTAGTTTAGGGGAAAATATATTATTTTTTTCTTTGAAGATGGGGTGATATGTACTCTGAGTTTCTTCAGAGGGGTCATATTTGTGTTGTTCAAGGTAAGTTTTGGAGCCTATCAGGACCAATTTTTAATGTTTCTGGTGGTAAAATTTTCTTACCATCAAGGTGTGAGTAAAGCTTGCAAAGCAGCTATATATTTATATTATATATTTATTTTAAAGGTAAGAGTAAGACTCACAGAAATGTGTTAGCATCTGAGCTCCCACCACTTCTCTCACCAGAGGGTTCCTTTGTCTTTGTATCTACTCTTAATATTGATTCCAGTTATGAAAGCCAGGAATTCTTATAGATTGTGTATGAGAGGTGTAGGGGTTAAGAGAGTGTCTTTGATATTAGCAAATTTAAGAAACTTAAAATCATAGCAGCTGTCTTGTCTGACTACAGTGGTATTAAGCTAGAAATCAAAAAATAAAATAAAAAGATCTACAAATAAGTGGAAACTAAACAGCACTTTGAAACAACCATTGAGTCAAAGAGGAAATCAGAAGGAAAAAATTATCTTGAAATAAGTGAAAATGAAAATACAATGTATCAAATATGGTATGCAGCAAAAGCAGTGTCAAACTTTATAGCAATAGCAGGGGAAAGTTTATAGCAGTAAACACACATACTACAAAATCAAATCACAAAAAAAAAAAAAAAACCCTAATTTTACATCTCAAAGAAGTAGAAAAAGAAGAACAAAATAAACTCCAAAGCTCACAGAAGGAAGAGAATAAGAAGGATCACAGCAGAAACAAATGAAACAGAGGCCAGAAAAACAATAGAAAGGATCAGTAAAACCAAGAGCTGATTCTTTGAAAAGATAAGAAAATTGATAAAGAGAGAAAAAATGAATAAAATTAGAAATGAAAGGGGGAAACATTGCAACTGATACTACAATAATACATAGAATTCTAAGAGACTATTATGAACAATTATATGCCAACAAATTACATAATCCAGAAGAAATGAATGCCATTTCTAGAAACAACCTACCAAATCTGAATCAGGAAAAATTAGGAAATTTTCACAAACCAGTAACAAGTAAAGAAGTTGAATTGATAATCAAAAAACAAAGTTTTCAGGACTAGAGGACTTCACTGGGGAAGTCTACTAAACATTAAACATTTGGGGGGAAAAAAAAGAACTAATACCAGTCCTCCTCAAACTCTTCCAAGATATTGAGGAGGAGGAACACTTCCACACCTATTCTGCAAGGCCAGCATTACTTTGATACCAAAAGCAAGTAAGGGTATCACAAAGAAACAGAACTATAGACCAATATCCATGATAAATATAAATGAAAAATTTCAACAAAATATTAGCACACTAAATTCAAGAAGACATTATTTTATTTGTTTTTTTAATGTTTAGTTTTGAGAGAGAGAGAGAGAGAGACAGAGTGCGAGCGAGGGAGGGGCAGAGAGAGAGGGAGACACAGAATCTGAAGCAGGCTCCAAGCTCTGAGCTGTCAGTACAGAGCCCGTTGCGGGGCTCAAACTCACAAACTATGAGATCATGACCTGAGCCGAAATCGACACACAACTGACTGAGCCACCCAGGCACCCCCAAGAACACATTAAAAGGATCATACACCATGACCAAATGGGATTTATCCCTAGGATGCAAAAATGGTTCCATATATGCAAATCAATAAATGTAATACATCACAGCAATAAGATGAAAGATGAAAATCACATGACTATCTGAAGAGAGTCAGGAGAAAGCATTTGTCAAGACTACAATATCCTTTCATGATAAAAAAAAAAAAAAAAAAAAAACCTTTAACAGACTAGTTGTAGAAGGAACATACCTCAACATAATAGAGGCCATGTATGACAAACCTACAGCTAGCCTGTAAGGGAACTTTGGCAGAAGAACAGGGCCAAAGGAGTAATCCTTCATTTGATTAATGAGTAAATGAGGCCCACTTGTGTGAAGTTATCTGTCTCCATGATATACGTGATCAGTCTAGGACCAGAACCAGTCTTCTTGCCTTGCTGGCTGGTACTTTTCCTAGTATATAGCACACTCGTTTTGTCTCTGCCCAGTGGCCTTAGTGAACTGTGGATTCCAGTTCTTAGCTGGACTTCCAGTCTTAGTTCTATCACTCACAGACTATAAGATTTTGAGCAAAGTTTCTTAACTCCTTTGTGCCCCCATTTCCTCATATAGCAAGTGGGAATAATGGTAGATCCTTCTTTCTAAGGCTTCTATGATAACAGACTGAGAAAACAAGTAAAGTCTTAAAAAAAGACTGCAGGCGCATGGTGAGAACTCAGTAGATAGATGTTGGTTGGCTATGTAATTTTTTTTTTTAAAGAAACTTAGATTTTGTTTTATTCTAGATTTTGATCCCATTTGCTATTGATCCCATTTGCTATTTGTTAAGTGGCATAGTTGAAAACATGAACACTAAAATTTAAATGAATTCCACTTTTTAAATTCAAATTGAATAAGATGTATGTCTGTAGTACAGTGAGCTTACATGTTCTGATTGTGAATTTTTATCCTTTGGAGTGTTCTTCACGTGTAGTAAATACTGCTTTTGGAGCAAAGTCCTTCCAAATAAAATGCATGCTACATGAAGATTGCTCTACCAGGGTTATACATAGTGTTTAATGGGACAGATGAGGAGTTAATATCATAAAAGGATAATTAAAAGCTGTTATTTTGTGAAGACTACTGAGTAATTTTGAAATAGCACACTCGGTGCCCTAGTGCCTCACTGAATGCCTCTCATGTCACAAGGCAACTACACTTGCCCCGCTGCCCCAACTTAATTCATAACTAAGGTGTTAATGCATATTGAGTCCAGATACAGAATACTGGATCTCATTTACTATTTGTATGCAGTTTGTTTAGATATCTACTGATTTTGCCTTTGACAAATTTAAATAAATAAAATTGATGTTTCTGCAGGATTTATTTTACTGTTGCATTGTGCAGTGGCTAGTGTTGAAACACAATAGCTTTTAAATTGAACTGCTTACAAAGTGATCTGTAAAATCATTCTAGATGTCTTTTTGTAACTGCTGTGGTCAGCTAGGAATGATTATTTGTTTTTGCAGGCAAGTTACTGGGTTAAAATGGCAGTGGAAACTGCCTTCTCGTAAGAGGTTTAAAAGGTACACTTAACCACTTGCTCAGGGCATTCAGAATAAAGAATCAAAGTCATTTACAATCCAGCTTGTCTTTGAAATACTGAAAAAGCAGGGGTTAATAATAAGAGCATTTGTGCATGTGTATTATTAGTTTGGTTTTAGTTGTGTGGTTGAAAGGACTGTGGAGAACAAAAAGTGACTAATTTTCTGACTTGCTCTTTTTTCAGTTGCTTTAAATCTTTGAAAGACCATTGATAATATACATACATGAATCATAGTATCGGTGGTGTACAAGTGAGAGTTTTGTAACTTAATTGGAAGAGAAAAACAGGCCTGGAATCTGAAAAATCTTATGATTCTGATTTCCACTAAATGGACAACATTGTGTTTGTCAATTTCCTAAGCTTTTTAATAAATTGCCATCACAAAAAACTTGGTATAAATGCATTTATATTGATATTATTTCTTGCTGTGGAATGGTTTTGTAAGTTTTTTATGTTTCCTTGGAAATTTTATTATTTTAGTTCTGGGACCTCTAAATATTGCCCTGCCCTCCAACGCCACAGTCTTGAGAGTTTCATTTCATTATTAGAATTTATTGATTTTCATTTCTTTCCCAAGAGTTGTATTTTAATTATGCATTATGAATGTTTAGAGTGTTTAAATATTATTCTAATCTTAGTATATTAATGAATAAGAATATAAACAATCTCTTAAAACTCTTTGGGATTGTGTTTTTAATTGTAAGAAAGAATTATTAACAGAAGAAAAGTATTAACAGAAGAAAATTACTTAAAGTGGGTGGTAGGTTGGAATATGTCCTAGAATACTAATTTTTATACAAGTAATGTATAATAAAATATTTAAGAAAAGTAAATCTGGCATAACCGAAATCTGAATTTGCACATATATTCTTATTTATAGGTAACTTTCATCAAGGCAGGCAACTTGAATTGCTTCATTCTAGAAAATTTAATGTACTACTCAATTACTGTTCTTTAGCACAATTTAAAACAATAGTTTGGGAGTAAGGTCTTAATGCAGTGTAACCTTTGGAACATTAGAAATAGCCTCTTTCTTTCCAGAAATCAGTATACAGTAAGGATATCAATTTTACCATACTTCATGATTAGATTTATAATAGCATTTATTATCATACTTATTATTTATACTTGGTACTTAAACTTCTTACATAAGTATTGTGATTTCATCTTTTTTACTAAACTTGTTCTAATATTAATTTCAAGATAATGCTATTGTCATAATATTTGAAAATATATACTTTGATTTTAAAGCTTTTGGATGACTTAATTTCCCTTCTGGTGAAATACCCAACTTAGGAGTGTTTTAATAATTTTATACTATTTCATAAAATAGGTGTTTTAAAAGAATTTGAGATGGTGGATATTGTAATAAAATTTTAGCTGTGCAAAGGTCCTTATTTTCACTTTCTTCTTTAATAATTGTGCCTGGTACCACTGTGAAACTATAGTGAAAATACTAGGACTTCATTTGAGGAATTGAAAAGGACTTCATATCTTCTTGTGATGCTACCTCTTAATGATAGTCATTGGCTTTTTCATTTATTCTAAACAAATTTTCTATACTAGGTGAAAATGTTCACAGAAACTAATTTACATACCCCTTCAAATCTCTTTTAGAGTAAGGGATGATACAGTAAACAAATAGTAATAAAACTAATTTGCATACTCTAAAATGTTGGTCATAATGGTACTGATGGAAGGTTTCCAATTTGTACTAAAGTAGTTTTTTTAAGAAACAAATTATATTGAAATGTACTTTATTAAAAAAAAATATAATGCCAAAGTGCAATATTGGACAAATTTATCTTCTCCCTAATAGACCAGGATTCATGATTTTATAAGCAGACCTTGATGATCTTGTCAGTTTTATATAGTCCCAGGGCTGTAGGTGCAGATACTTAGAGGACAACAACAGCTTTGATTTAGTCTTTAATGAAAATATCCTTTTTTTTTCTGTTATCCATTGGATTCTCAAAACGTGGTTTGCAGACCACCTACCTGTCTCAGAAATCATGTATGATGCTTTATACAATGTGGATTCCTGAGCCCCACAACAGAACTCCTGTCTTGGCCCTGATTCGAAATCCCTGCAGTTTTAATAAGAACTCAAGATGATTTTTATGAGGTTGAGGTTTATTAATCAGTGCCCTAGAGCAGAGGTCAGCAAACCTTTTCTGGAAGTTGCTAGATAGTTAATATTTTCAGCTTCATGGTTTTTGCTGTGACAAACCTGAGCAGCGCAGGGGTTGGGGTACCGACCCCTCCCTCCTACAGTCAAAAATCCAGGTTTAACTTTTCACTCCCCTAGAATTTAACTGCTGATTGCCTACTGTTGACTGGAAGCCTTACCAAAAACATAAACAGTTGATTAACACGTTTTTTATGTTACATGTATTATACACTGAATTCTTACAATAAAGTAAGCTAGAGAAAAAAAATTGTGAAAATCATAATGAAAAGAAAATGCATTTACAGCACTATACTGTTTTTATTGGAAAAAAAATTCTGCATGTAAGTGGACCCGCTGCAGACAAAACCTGTATTGTTCAGAGGTCAATTGTGCTTACCTCTGCTGTTGGGGTGCAAAAGCTGCACCAGTAATATATACACAGATGGGCATGGCTAGCCAGATTTGGCCCAAGAACTTGTACATCTCTGATAGAAACAAGATTCTAGACCAGTGATTTTTTTCTCCATTAATCTTTTCTAAGGCATTATCTGTAAAATCACCTTTAATGCTATTTCCTGCATGTTTATTTTTTGGTAACTGAAGAAAATCTGTAACTGAAAGAGCACTTCCGGGATATTCATTACATGAATGGATGTAAAACCTTTATAATACTTAAAGCCTTTTCTATCTTAAAGTTAAGGAGAGTATGATTATCTTATTTGTAACTATATAATCTGCTTGTATCACTAGGTTCCTGTGGCTAGAGCAAGTATCCTTTGGCTAATTGGAGAAAATTGTGAACGAGTTCCTAAAATTGCCCCTGATGTTTTGAGGAAGATGGCTAAAGGCTTCACTAGTGAAGATGATCTAGTAAAATTGCAGATTTTAAATCTGGGCGCAAAATTATATTTAACCAACTCCAAACAGGTAAAAGTCTAAACCTTAATCTACCTAAATGATACTTTCCTCTTACATTGATGAAGCACCTAAGGTCTATTCATGCATTAGCGTGTCCATTCAACAATTACTAGGTGTCTCTTTCTTTAAGGTTCTATATTAGAAGGTAGTGGTGCCAAGATGACGTTCTAGTCTAGTAGGTGAAAGAAACATGTAAACAATGAAATAGTATGTGGTAAGTGCTGTAATAGAAGTATTAAGCTAGAGTGTGACTCCAGAGGAGAAAGTCATGACGTCTGAAGTGGAAGGAGTTAAGAGATAAGAGAAAGTTATGTGAAAGGTAAGATTCTTGACTAAGGACTTATGAGGAGTGTTTTACTACACAGAATGAAGAGGGCAGTGAGAGTCATGAAACACCTATGTTTGCTGCAAGTTTCTGATTTATTGATAAAAACAGCATCTTAGCCTGATAACTCCCTGTGTTCACTAAATACATGTGGTATTGTAAAAGACATGATAACACCAAAAGTACTTACGTCTTATAAAACTAAATAAAGGTTCTGTTTTGGGTCCCCTTTGTACCTATAAAGAAACAGTGATGCAAAATGTTACTTTTTGTTCAGGAATTATAGAATGTATTCCATTATCTTTTGATATGACTTGGGTACATAGCTTGTACCCAGACAGGTTTTTCTTGAGCTGTATTATTAAATAAAATTTTGTAGCTCAGCTTCTGAAATGTTCTCTTGTATATTTTAGAATGATACTTCTACATAAACACAAATAGACTTTACTGCCAAGTGGTGAAGGCCTAGTAATGTTTAGAAAATACATCAAATTGTTTGTTTATTATTTTCTCTAGAGAGTGAGAGCAAAGGAGAGGGGCAGAGGTACAGAGAGAAAGAATCTTAAGCAGGCTCCAAGCTCAGTGTGGATTCTGATGTGAGGCTCAGTCCCACGACCCTGGGATCATGACATGAGCTGAAATCAAAAGTTGGGCACTCAATTGACTGAGCCCCCCAGGTGCACCAAAAATAGACCAAAGTTTCATATGTATTTTTATATAACTCATTGTTTTTAAATGATTAAATATAAAAATAGGTGAATGACAGTGTCTCCAAGGTGGTGTTCTGTAATTTCTCATTTCTTAAGAAAAGGGGGTTTGAGAGAATTGGTAAAATAAGCATTAAAGGGCAGTTTTTAGCACCATCAACTTGACAGCATTTTTAAATTGTATGGTTCATACCTGTTGAGTATGAGACAGAGACTAAAATGATTTCTTTGGGCTAAATGTAAAAAATGTGTGTTCTGTTCTTAATTAATATTAGCTGTCTTTAAGACTGAACTGTGGAGGGGCGCCTGGGTGGCTTAGTCGGTTAAGCGTCCGACTTTCGCTTGGGTCATGATCTCGCGGTTCGTGGGTTCAAGCCCCGCATCGGGCTCTGTGCTGACTGCCAGCTCAGAGCCTGGAGCCTGTTTCAGAGTCTGTGACTCCCTCTCTCTCTGACCCTCCCCTGCTCACGCTGTCTATCACTCTCATAGAAATAAATAAAACATTAAAAAATTCTTTAAAAGACTGAACTGTGGAGACCAAGACACAGTGTCCAGGGACTGGTTTGCCCTGAAGTCCTGGTATTTATTTGTTGATCTGAATTCTCTGTGGTGTATATAACTTAGCATCCCAGAATTGTTATCGAATTATTTACTTATAGGGAATGTCTAGGTTAATTCTTATAAGATGGAGCACATTGTGTTCGTTTGTTTGCTTGAGGAATAATTGAATAATGAACTTCTTTAATACCTCAAAATATTTTTACCTGGTATGAAAACTCATTTACAAATAAATCAACAGTCTGCTTTCAGTATGTCAAGTTAGCTCCTGTTGGACTGGCCCTTCCATAGACAACAGCTCTGGAAAAAAATACAAAAAATAAATAACTGCCCAAAGTCCCAGAAGAGTTAAGAAAAGCAGGAAGACTCTGGAGAGGAATTAACACTTGGAAGAAAAAGGGTGGCACAGAGTAAATTTCCCCACTTTTATGGCTTTTATCCATGGGATGGGCTACGGTTGGCACTACACACAGGGGCTAAAACTCCAAAAGGAAACCCAAGGTCCTCTGGCCTGCGGAAGTAGAGAACATAGTTCAGGAAAACTATAGATATTGGAAAGTTAAGGAAGAATTAGAGAAGGGAGTGGGGGAGCCTCAAGATCTGTGGATAACCCTGCCCAAGCTTGTGGTTGACCTCTGAACCACACACGCTCAGGTACATTCAGAGCAGCACAGCTGAGTATAAAGGAACTGAACTGAAATTTGAGGTGCCTCAAAGAGACCAGGTTTGCACTTGGAACTCAACCAAGTTAACTGCTAAAATAAACAAACAAAAATCAGTACTCACTCAAAGAGTATAACAATGTCCACAGCCTCTATAATATAACATTCATAATTTCCAAGATACAACCCGAAATTATTCCACATATGATGAACGAGAATGAGTTATTGTTTAAAGGGTATGGAGTTTCAATTTATGAAGATACAAAAATTTTGGGAGATGGATGGTGGTATTAGTTGTACAACACTCTGTATGAACTGCACAATTAAAAATGGTTTAGATGGCAATTATGTGTTTTATCACACACACACACACACACACACACACACACACAGGAAAGCATGATCACTTTTCAAGAAAATTGAAAGAAATGACAGGAACTAACCCTGAGGTGATCCAGATGTTGGAATTTGCAGGCAAACATTTTGTAGCAGCTTGTTATAAATGGGGTCAGCGATATAAAGGAAAATACACTCACCATGAATAAAAAGATAAGAATTCTCAGTAGAGAAATATAAATTATACAAAAAAACAGAAGTTTTTTAGAACTGAAAAATACAGTACCTAAAAATCAGTATCTTGTTTATCATTGGTATTATATTTTTCTTTAATATTTCAATGTTTTTCTTTTTAGGTATAGATATATAAAACTCATTCATATAGTTTGGTTTTTTTTAATGTTACATTATGATTATAACTCCATAGTTATAATCTGTGCACTTCTTCAGTAAGCTTGTTTAGTTTTCTAACTAAGTTATTTCAGATGGAAGTTTGTATTTGGAAAGTAGATTAACGTGTGTGATGACTACTTCATAGAGTTATTTGATGTCATTTACTGGAGGGCGGATAGTGATTGAGAGTATAGGCTCTCATAGACTGTCTGGCTTCATATCCTGTTTCGCCACTTATTAGGTACATAATTTGGGACAAATTATATAACCTATCCAAGAGTTTGTTTTATCCTCTATAAATTGGAAATTATTATAATTTCCTAATTTAATCTAATTTAAGAGAGAAAGAATGCAAGCAGGGGCAAGGGACAGAGAGGGAGAGAGAGAGAATTCTAAACAAGCTCCATGCTTAGCACAGAGCCTGATGTGGACCTCAATCTGTCAGCCTTGGGATCATGGCCTGACCCAAATTCAAGAGTCAGGTGCTCAATCAACTCTCTAGGAGAGAGAGAGACAGCGTGAGCAGGGGAGGGTCAAAGAGAGAGGGAGTCACAGACTCTGAAACAGAGTCCAGGCTCTGAACTGGCAGTCAGCACAGAGGCCGACACGGGGCTCGAACCCACGAACCGCAAGATCATGACCTAAGCGAAAGTCGGACGCTTAACCGACTAAGCCACCCAGGCACGCCCCCCCCCCTTTTTTTGTTGTTATTTAAAAAAAATTTTTTTTAATGTTTTTTGAAGCCCTCCAACTCTTAAGTCATAGTACAAAGACTGAGCATGACTTCTTTGCACTAGTCTGCTGAGGCCTGAGACAGAAAACTGAGTTGATTAACAGGATTAATAGCCATTAAAAATGAATGAATAAAGGGTGCCTTTTTTAACTTCCTATACTCTTTTAAATGTAGTGATAAGTATTATAAGTTAATGTTTCACTTAGCTCGTGTTCTCATTTTTAATTATGAAATGCAAGCCTATAGCAAAGTACAAAATAGTATAAATACATATATACCACGAAGACTAACTCAGTGTTTTTGCCATAATTGTTATTCTTTTCTAAAGGACTGTGACAAGGAAAGGTAAATAAAACCTCAATATCCTGTTTATACCTTTTTCCTCCTCATTGGTAGCTGTTTTCATAATGGTGTTGTGCTTCAGTCATGTGTGTTTTTCCATTTTTATTATATGAGTATATGCCCTCACGCTGTTACTGCTGTGTGGGTTTTGAAATTTCACATTGATAGGTATTGTATATTTTGTGTGTACTTTGTAACCTGCTTTTTCACTTAATGCCATGTTTTTAAAATATTGACATGTATAGATATAAGTCAGTTATTTTAGTAAACTGTCATTTTCTGTGGGACAGGTTTCTACTTTTCTGCTATTAGAAAAAAAAGAGTGATTCATTGAGTATCCTTAATATTTGCATTTTCTTTGTATTGCTTTTTAGACTTTTTGGTTCTTAGTAAGAAATTTTATAAATCACAGTTATATCTGGGGAATCCTCCCTGAAGTTCAAAGCAAATTCTCTCTTGCCCATGATTCAGGTTTTCGGAGAAACCTATCTCTGCCCCCAGCTCCTTTCACATGACTTAGCAGAAGGGGCTCAGGCTCTGTGCCGTGATGTCTCTACCTTTCTTGGATATAGTTTCTTGGCATTAAAAAACTCAAGTAAATATAGCATATATGTAAGAAAGAATTTACAGACTACTTTTCAAGTTGACAAAAGTGTGAATACTGTTAAATTCATGAAATTTCATCCAAGTCACATAAAGAACCCTGGTTAATCATGAAATGATGAAATTGGTGACATGGAACACTGGTATTGCTTAGATTTCCTCTGGTTTAGGTTAAGAATTTTGTGTTGCTTTCTTTCATTTACCAAACCATATACCAATATCCTTCTTTTTTAGAATAACAGCTGTGTGGAACTGATATTAATCTTTGCTATGCTGAATTCCATGTACTTTTTTATTTTCCTTAAATTAAAACTATATCTCAGCTGATTTTATTAGTATATTTTAAGATA